GGGTTTTCTTAGCAAAGAGAAATTGTCAAGAGGACGAAAAATGGCTGTTTACCGCTCTACCTGGTACCAATGTCCATGACCTATGGGTGTGATTGCTGGGCAATGACAACAGCTCACAGCAATCCAGCTGCAGGCCTCGGAAATGAGATACCTGAGAAAGGTGGTTCAGTGACAAGAAGGGACAAGTCCGCAATCAAGACAATACTTCAAGATCTTGATACCCATAGTCCCTTACTAACCCAGTGGATCAGTCACAGTTACGATGGTTTGGACATTGTGGCAGAATGGTTTATAAAATCGGCCACCATGGCAAAGCATGGGAGGCTAAAGAACCAGGGAACCAGACCTCCGGGACGACCCAGGGTGCGCTGGGAAGACAACATCCTGACAGTCCCTGACTGACAGAGGAGTGGAATGGAACCAAAGCCAGAAAGAAAACTGCTGATTGAGACGTCTGGCGCATCTTCTCTGGAAGAGGAGTGGAATGGAACAAAGCCAGAAAGAAAACTGCTGATAGAGACGTCTGGCGATCTCTCTGGCAAACCTCTACACCCCAAGGTAGAAGAGGAGCGACTAAGTAAAAGCAGTGTATGCAGAAATGAATGTAAGGTAACCACTATTCGTATTCGGCCAGACCACAACTATTCGGCCAAATACCAAATAGTCATTCGGTCCACTATTCGGCCCCGAAGCGAATACGAAGCAAATATTCGGTACAGCCCTAGTATGTACAGTAACTTACATCAATTAATCAGATTCAGTTCAGAAGCACAGACTGGGTACTGCCAACTCAGAGCCGCTTCTAGCAGTTTAATGTTGAATTAAGAATCGACATCACAGCACTTGGGACACTTCCATAAGTGCTCAGTCGCCATCTTCAGCAGCAAGCGAAGAGTTCCGATTCCAATAATACCAGTAACCGTCTGATTGTATATCCCTCTCCTCCTTTCCCTGAGTGTTGAGCGTCAGCCAGATCCCCTGGTAACTCCTCGCAGCACCATTCTCCTTAGACCGTAATGATCTATCTGCACTGTTTACTTGCTCCCACGGGGCCCTCACAATATCTAACGTGCCATACATCAGTTCACCACCAAGTGGTGCAGTGCCAGCTAGTCTTTCTGCCTGCTCATTTCCCAACACACCAACACTAGCAGTTATGAATATGAACAAACAAGACCTAATCTCACCTTAAAATAATCCAAATATTCTGCCTTGTCCGCATCTAAAAACACTACATCAAACTTCTCTCCATCAGCATCCAAATTTTTCAATGCGTCTAGAGCTTTCCCTATAAAAACATGAAAGAAATTATCTACTACAGAGTGTTTATAATAAAGGTATTCTCATTATCATCATTAACATCACAGCTGATATTATTCTACTTGTTAATAAAACGCCTCAACCATTATCCTAATCCTCATATAATCATTACTATTAACATTAGCAATATAATCATTACTATTAACATTAGCAATATAATCATTACTATTAACATTAGCAAATAATCATTACTATTAACATTAGCAATATAATCATTACTATTAACATTAGCAATATAATCATTACTATTAACATTAGCAATATAATCATTACTATTAACATTAGCAATATAATCATTACTATTAACATTAGCAATATTATCATTACTATTAACATTAGCAATATAATCATTACTATTAACTTGCTCCTGTTTTGAGGATTAACAGGCCGAGTGGTTACAATGTGAGACTCTCATCCGGAAGTCTGACCACCTGGTTAGGTGGATAGCGTTTTTTCTGTTAGGGGGGCAAAATTAAACATATTAACCTGCACAGTTCGTAGCGACAGCACTAGCAATGCAGACCTAAATCCTCATCAAGGCTCCCCTAAAAAGGGGTAAAACAAACAGCAGTGACAGCTGACAGTAGCTCCTGTTTTGATTCTCATCCTTGGGGTGTTGATCCTACAGACAGCAATCCTGGTGGGGAACAGTGACGCCTGCCTTATGTCCCATTCAGTTGTTACATTTACTAAGTCAGTCGCAATTGTTTCTGTACACTGCCTGTTCAGCAGATCTTTTCATTCTACCTCAGTTAGAAACAATACTAATTAGTGTACACTAACAGGCTGGGACTGAAAGAGTTAATACCAACATTAGTATTATCATCAACAGAAGCACCAACAACATCAGAATCATCAACATCACAATCACCACCATCATAACTCAACAAACACTATCATTACTCCTGAAACTTAGTTTTATGCAGATTTCATGACACATATTCTCCTATAAAACTGCAGTTTCCCTAATTCCCTTCTTATTCAAAGCCCCACCCTTGCTTTTGTCAGGGGTCCTGAATAAAGCTGGGCCATAAATATGGCCTAACAGCTTAAAGGAGTTTCTGGACCTCTTCATGGGTGATCCTTATCCGCATGGTGGCGCTTTGTTGCACCAGGTGTTTATCGCTTGTGTGATGTCCTAGTGGGGTACAACTACCTTCCTTCTTATTTATTAACATGTCTATCCCCATGTGGGATGAATGTTTTTTGTTAAACTGAAACCCCACCCTGGTTTTTGCCTGGGGCCCTAACGGTTTAACCCGGTTTCTGGGACCTCTCCACAGATGATCCTCAATCGAATGGTGGCACTTTGTGTCACCGCGTGTTTGTTGCTCAGTGTGATGTCCTGGTGGGGTAAAAAGTCAGTCAGCTCTAATTCATCACTGCAATTATTTAGCTGTCCCACAACTTAAAACTGTGCTGAAAGTGTCCTTCCTGATCTGAGTCAGGAGAAGGCCTTATGTGGAACATGTTTACTGAGCTGTACTTTATTCCAAAAAAAAAAAAAAAAAAGACCTTGAAATGCTTTCAACAGTGCTAAAAAACAGCATATGGATTCCTAAAGGAACTGATGTTCAGATTTCCATGTAAGTTTATGTGGTGTTTCCAGCAACAGGCTCGTCCGACAGGAAAAAATTACAACTACTCTCTTCAAGCTCCACACATTTTACAATTAGGGAACCTGTAATGGCTACAACAGAATCTATCCCAGTGTACCTACCTTGCAGTCTTCATGGGTAGAGACTACAGGTTGTTTTTGTGTGTGTGAGTAAATAAAAATTCACATTTACATAGAATGTGCCAGTTTAATTTTCACAGCACTTGGAAATCTGTGGAAATCAAAGGAAATTAAAATATGGCAATAAACTTGAAGTATTTAGCCCTAATATCAAACTGGTATTATTGAATAGAGCTGAAACATAGAGAACAAGTGAAATAATTACTAATAAACTGCAAACAATTATAGACCGGTGCCAGCGCAGAACGGAGTAATTTAAATGGTATCATAATGTGGAGCTTTGGGACAGAACTAAACACACTGCAGTGAATCAAGAGGTGAAGAAAAGATAAGAGCTTTGGATAGGACACACATTGAGAAAACATGAGAACAATATAACTAGAATGTTTTTACTCTGGAACCAACAGGGGCATAGAAATATATGCTGACAAGCAACAATAAAACGGAACCAACAGGGGCATAGAAATATATGCTGACAAGCAACAATAAAACGGAACCAACAGGGGCATAGAAATATATGCTGACAAGCAACAATAAAACGGAACCAACAGGGGCATAGAAATATATGCTGACAAGCAACAATAAAACGGAACCAACAGGGGCATAGAAATATATGCTGACAAGCAACAATAAAACGGAACCAACAGGGGCATAGAAATATATGCTGACAAGCATAAAATAAAACAGAGAAGGGAGCTGGAGGATGGAGTTAAAAAGACAGGGAGAACATGGAGTGAGCTGCATGCCAGATTACAGGAAGAATGTTCTTCTTCTTCTTTACGTCCTCTTTTACCGCTTCGGGTATCAAGGGAGATATAAGGTTCTGCTTTGTGCTTTTCTGGCTGCTTCAACCATGGACACATCGTGGTACTGTAGAGTTTCTCTGATGTTATCCTTCCATACTGTTGTTGGTCTACCTCTTGTTTTACGTCCCTTTCCTCTTTTGATATATGCCTTGAATGATATAGCATCAGAAGGCATTCTCTCCAAGCGGGCAAACCATTTGATTCGCTGTCTTTCTATGGAACTTTGAATAGGTTCTGTGCTGACTTTATCTCATATGACCTCATTCCTGATTTTATCTCTTCTGGTCACTCCTACAGCCTATTTCAGACACCTCATTTCCATGGTTACTAATTTTCTTGTATGTTTTGTTGTGAGTGACGACGCCTGGCACTGGTAGCATAGGGTGGGAATGAATATGCTTTGTATGAGATGTCTCTCTGCGCTGATTGGGATTGCCTTATGCTGTAAGAGGGGGGGGGAGGGTTGGCTGTCCCATTACTTGGCCAGCTTTACTGCATAGAATGTCAGTTTCTTAGTCTTCTTCTTCTTGTGTTCGCTTTCTGATTTACACCGACAGACAGGTTCTTGTGATAAACTTGACTGTTTTAATGAGTTCATTTTTAGTCCCATACAACTTTGTGTACAGTGGTGACTCACTGGGCCAGTATTCCTTTCTTAATGGGCTGAACAAGGGACAGTCTTGCAGGACATGTTCTGTAGTCTGCACACATAGCCCACAAGGGCAAAAAGGTGAACTACTTAGACGAAGCCTGTGCATATGCTGGTTAAGTTTGTTATGTCCTGTCCTGAGACGTAGGACAATGACCTGCCCATGCCGGTCAAGTAAGTGGTAGTCATCTCTGGCCAGACTCTGTTCACTTCTGATAGCCTGGATGGCCCTTTTCTTCTCATAGTATGTTACTGCATTCTCTTCTTGGTCACATTCTGCCCCTTTTTTTGCAAGTTTATCTGCGGTTTCGTTTCCTGGTATACCACAGTGGGATGGCACCCACTGGAGTACAGTACACTTTTGGGCAGCCACCTTGCCAAGTTTAGATCTCAAGTGAGGGAGTTTGCCACTCTTGAGGGCTTGAAGCACCGAAAGCGCATCTGTGAATATAACCACTTGGTGGCAGTCAGAACTGGTGTTGTGTAACATTTCGGCAGCCTGCTCTAGTGCTACAATCTCTGCTGTGTAGTTGGAACAGAATTTACCAGTGGGTATCCACTTTGTGTGGCGGTGGTTGCCTGGGTATGTAATAAAGACTCCAGCACCCCCATTTTTAACCGCGCTGGTTGCTGATCCATCTGTGTAAATATGTATCCATGACTGTTCGGGATAGTTTTCATGAATCATGCTAAGAGCAGCTGTTCGTTTTTGAAGATCATTGGACTCATCTCCAGTTGTGAATCCATTGACTGAAGTCATTATCTGTATTGTATCACTGACTTGCTCCCAAGGTACAGGGTATAGGGTAGGTTTCAGCGGTGTTGTTCTAATAGGTAGATCAGCTTGGTACTGTCTTCTAAGTCTTTTCCCCCGATGGACAAAGCTGCTACGTTTGAGACGCCCTAATGCCAGATCATCTAACCTTTTATTCATTGGGTGTGACTGCATACTATTAAACTTCTCCATCTGGATCATAGTTTTAGTGTCTCTTCTATAGGACAATGTCTGCATTGCAGTTATTTTCTGCATCTTCAGGATTGGTGCAGTTTTCATGGATCCTGTGATGAGTCTAAGAGCTTGATTTTGCACTCTGTCTAACGATTGTAGGTGGGAATTAGCAGCTGTTGACCATGCTGTTGCACCAAACTCCAAGTGGGGTCTTATCGCTCCATTATAAACTTTCTTTAGGGTTTTTCCATTTGCTCCCCATCCTGTACCTGCCAATTTTCTAAGTAGGCCTAGTCGTCTCCTGGCCTTCCCTTCTACATTTTCTATATGTTTGCTCCATGTGAGCCTTTTATCAAATGTTACTCCAAGATAAGTGGGGAAGCTTTCTTCCTTTAGCAAGGATGTTCCTAGGTGAATACTAGCAGCTTTGTCCCTGGTGGAAAGAGAGAAAAGCGTTGTGGATGTTTTGTCTGTGTTGATGGCAACATGCCATTTTTTCTGCCCATGTCATCAAGAGATCTGCTGCTCGCTGCATTCTTATATTTGCCACTGTGGTGTGTTCATCGGTACACCAGAGTGCCAGATCATCTGCATACAGGGCAGCTTTTACTCCTGTAGGGAGGTCTTTCACCAGATCATTTATATACACAAGAAAGAGAGTTGGAGAGATAACTCCTCCCTGTGGTACTCCTTGCCGAAGTAACACTTTTCTACTCTGCTGGCCATCAAGACTGACTCTAGTTCTTCTGCTGTGTAAGAAGGATTGGATCCATTTTAGCATGTTTCCTTGGATTCCATTTCTCTTCAGTTTTGCAATGAGACCATCTTTCCAGACTTTGTCAAAAGCTTGTTTGAAGTCAACCCATACCGCCAGGACCTTTTTCTTCTCTTGGAAGGCATCCTCTACAGCTTGTGACAGGTAGGTGACTTGATCTTCTATGCTGTGACATTCCCTAAACCCAGCCTGCTCTGGCACCAAGATCTGCTCAGATTCTAAGTGCCATTTCAGTCTTGAATTTACAATTCTTTCCAATGTCTTTCCTACACAGCTTGTGAGACTAATTGGGCGATAGCTCGAAGCCTGTGTCTTAATTTTTCCCTTTTTTACAATGGGTATTGTGATGGCTTCTCTCCATACTTGAGGCACTAAACCTTTCTCCCAGCTGATGTTGAAAATTTCCAGCAGCTTTACTTTAGCAGATGAGGTCAGGTTGATTAGCATTTCGTTGCTGATTTCATCCGGACCTGCAGACTTTTTTAACTTAAGCCTAAAGATGGCATTTTGTAGTTCACCCATGGTAAATGGCTCCCTCCTAGAGGCAGGAGTATCTGTCTGTCTCTTATTTGTTTGTTTGCTTGTTTGTATTTCTTTCCTTATTTCTCTCTGATGGTCCTCATTAAGGGTCAGGTTGCTTTCAACACTGAATGTTTTGGCAAACAAATCTGCAGCTTGTTTTCCTCTGAAGATTTTGTCACCATCACTTAGCGTGATTGTTTGTCTAGGCGAGAAACTCTCTTCATTGAGTGATTTGGCTAATCTCCAGAGTTTCTTGCCATCTTTATCAAGGTTTAGAGCTTCTGTTTTATTTCTCCAGCTTTTCCGTTTTTCTTCAAGTTTAGTTCTCTGGAACACTGCTACAGCCTTTTTCCATTTGATGTGGTTGTCAGGTGAAGGTTGGGATTCTGCATCCTTTCTAGCCTGATTCATTGTTTCCTGGCATTCCTGGAGTGTGCTGGACCAGTACGGTCTATAGTTGTGTCGACAGCCTCTGGGGATTGCTTCTTTTGCAGCTTGTAGAATACTTCTATTGAAATCGTGCACTATAGCATTGATATCCCTATTTTGTACCTTGAGAGCAGACAACAATGTGCTTGTCCTGTGTCTGTACAGGCCCCAGTTGGCTTTCTTGTAGTTCCATCTTGTGATGACTGGGCCTGTATTAACTGGTACATTCTGGACAGTGAGAAAAATCGGGCGATGGTCACTGCCCCCAAGCTGGTCTCCCACCTCTCTACTTATCATTCCAGATATATCTGGGGTAGAGAAGGCAAGATCTGGGGTCGACGTTGTCTGCCACCTTCTGGAGTAGAAGGTAGGCGTATCTGAGGGGGCATTTATCAGGATCAGAGAGTGGTCATCTTGCCATGTTTCCACCTCTTCACCCCTATTGTCGAGATGGTTATAGCCCCAGCTCTGTGAATGACTGTTGAAGTCTCCAACTGCAATAAAGTTGGTGTTTGGTACTGGCACAGAGCTGAGGTTTAGCGATTTGTCATTGGGACAGTAGTAATTAAGGAGTTCTAATTCCACTTTGTCTGTCTTAAGCTGCAGGAGTTGGTACTCAGCTCCATCCATATAAGACATTTTCTCGCATGGATGGATACTGTTTTTCACAAGGGTGAGTACTCCTCCTTTTCGCCTGCCTTGTCTGTCAGATCTGAAGCACTGGTAGCCTCTCACTTTAAATATCTGATCTGCCTGCAAATGGGTCTCTTGGATGCAGCATACACTGACATGCTTTTCATAGAGGATGTTTTCCAGCTCCAACTTTTTGCTGTAGCCAGCCTGCTTACTGCTGACCCCCTCTGCATTCCAGTGCATAATGACAAAAGGCAATTTGGGATCTTTTCTGTCTAACTGGTTTTGGTCAGTAGCTATCCTCCGCCGTCTCCTGACTCCACAAGACGGTCTAGGAGGTCCTCCAGTAGCTGGGGGTGGATTCTGTCGAGGCTCAGAACCCGGCACTGCACCTGCCTGGTGGAGTTCCACAGGGCGAGCACCAACATTAAATTTGTCTGACGGTGTAAACATATATATAGCGTGGGGTTGCGTAGTACTGTGGTTTTTGATCCGCCTTCTGGCCCAGTATTTCCGACTTCAGGATCTCTTGGGAGGGAGAGTAGGCTCATCCCTTCGCCTTTACCTCGTTTGTTGTCCCATCCAGTTTCCCGCTGGGGGTTAAGACCCCAACCTTCAACTGGATTGCTGGGAAGAACAGGGTCCACCACGTGAAGGTGAGGTAGGCTTGAGCAAGAGAGGCTAATAGACATTAAGAGTCTTGTATTGCGCATCATTGCTCCATTTGGACCCCATTCTTAGTCTAATTTGAAGAATACTCAATACATTAAATAGGAGTTAGTGTAGCCCTTTAGAGAATTAATGCACTGTTGACAGCAGAAAACTACACTGAGACCCTGTATAAAGTTACATAAAGAGTATAGCAAAACAAAAACCTTCATGCTCCTCTAGCAGCCTAACGTGCCAATAAAATAATAATGATAATGAACTGGATAATGATGAATGTAATTCCAATAAATGTTAACTGTCTCATACCAGTAATAATCCTCACTTTCTTATGATGTGGTGAGTCTTTAATCAGATTTTCAACCAGCGGCTTCAGGTATTCATCAATCTCAAGTGACACCACTTCACCATCAGCTGTCAGGAGGGAGAGAGAAAGAGACAACATTTTATAAATGGCTAAGTCCAGTTTCACAAAAGCATGGTTTTTTTTTTTTTAAGTGTCCCATATGAAGGTACAGGCTCAAATCCTAACAAGGCATAGGTATTCTTTTAGCTATAATAGCTTGTTGGTGACTTAGGCGTTGCGAACGCGCTTCATAATGCTGTGGTGCCGGGTTTGATCCCTGCTGCGGACAATTTGTCTTGAACTGGTTTTGACAGTGGTACCAAGAGCAGACCGTTCAGGAGACAAACTACTGAACGTAAAATCTGCCTGGTAAAAACCACAAAAGCCATAAATGCTGGGGTTGGTTCTGCAACGACCTGTAAAGGATACACAACTAAGTTTTTCTTCTTCTTTGCATTCACCAGATGTACACTTTGGCGGAAAGTTCTGGCTGTTCATCCACTTCTGCAGTACTGTTCCAGAACCTGACTTATTTGCATGCAGACTGCTGGTTCCTTGCCTCTCAGGCAGATGCACTCCGACTTCAAAGGAAGCTTCCAATTAGTCAACTGTTATGACATGCTTTTGGGTAGGCAGTGGATCTGTTTTTGTTTTCCCTATAATAGGGCCCCTGAACCCACACAGGAAGCAACTAACTATAATAGCTTAGAAAGAAGATGACACAGTGACATCAAGGCTAAAAACACCTTTGAGTTCTATCTATTGTCTTTCTCTGCTTAATGCTGTTACGTGTCACAGGCACGGCTAAGGATAGTGCACGCTCGTTAGCTTGCTGCATGGTGATATTGTTGAGTTTCAGCAGGTTATCTCCATTTATCTATCTTCAAACCATGGCCTATAGTTCATGCAGATATTGGTAATGCCATTAGAGAGGTAAAGACGATTGGAGGATTTTGGGAGCAGCACATCCACATCTTTGCTAAGAAAGCAAGAATTGGGAGTAAAGATCGATACAGCCAGGCATGAGAAGCACACCGGATCCAAAGAGAAGTCTTGTCAACCAACACAGGACTGGGACTGTCAACCGCGGGATGCTGATGTATATGTTGAAGGGGGAATCTGAGCACCTATGGACGTGTCCGGAGTGCCATGAAGATAACCCAAATCATAACTCATCTTCTTCTTGGCCTTTCTCTGCCTTCTGATGTTTCCATTCTCATGTTGAAAGCTCTTTGCAGCCGGTGACACTAGGCTAATCCTGACTAGGTGGCCAAACCATTTCAGTCTTCATTTTTCAATAAATCTAAACACAGGTGTTGTCATTTCACTGAGGGGACAAGACCTTTCATTAACCAATACAGAACAGGCGTCATCAGTTGTTTTACACTTGTGGAGCTTTTGAGGAGGAGATCGGAGCACCTATGGATCTGTCCGGAGTGCTTGATGATAATCCTTTCTAATCACTAATCACAGGTGTTGTTACATTTGAGTTAACCTTCATTATCTTTTAATCTTACGGTGGACACAAGGACTGATTTTTAAAATCTATTTATTATTGTTAACAAGATAATAATTCTAACATTTGAGGTTTTTGTTTTTTAAAGGGAAGAATAACCACATTAAGCTACCTCTGCTCCACAGTAAACTGGATAAAAACATTTTTAAAGGACCCTTTTAATGCCAAAGGCAGATGAGGCCTGTGATGGATGGTTGGTCGATCGTTTTGTCCCCTCTCAGCTGCTACCTTCAGGTTTACCATACTATCCTGAGATTTTAAAATTTCTCAATCATAGACAAGTCGGCTTCTGTAGGAGATGTAGTTAAATCATGCCAGCTGTCTTTACTTCCCAAGACATTTCTTGGTATCCAAATTAGACTGGGTCAACATGGGAGCCAAGGTCGAATTTTTTAAATCTTCCCGGTGCAGATTTTAAACACACACCTTCAGGTTAGCAGGCAGACGACTAGCCACTGTGCCAAGATGGCTTGGCTCCCAAAGAAAGCATATGCAGTTGTAAACATCTGCTCCACTGTAAAATAGATCAAACAGAAGCAGATGTATACACATCTGTTCCGCAGTCAAACAGAGGAAACATACATGTGCTCCAATGTAAAATAGATAAAATGTTGGCAGCTGTATATATATATATATCTATTCCACTGTAAATAAGAAAAAAAACTTTTATGGATTATAGTTCTCAGTATGATTAACTATTTCAGTCCCAGTTATGAAATGTTTACCATGTACAAGCAGAATTACCCTTTTCACACCTGTGGCGTGTTGGACACAATGATGTCAAATTCATGTCTTTATAGACCACACAACACTCAGCTGGTGATGTGATCAACAACACGACAACTACTTTTTTTCCCATTTTCGCCTGCCTCGATCTGGGAGCAAAGGTCATGCCTTAAAGAAAAAACTTCATGCAGATCTGAAGCCATACATTCAGGCCAGAAGGTGAGTGTCTAGCTGCCATACCACTGTGGCTCCCCATATCATGTATACAGAAGCACATGACAATGTGCAGCCAGTTGACAAGTATCAGAGAGTAAACCACCAACATGCCTTTAATGAACAAGTTACTGTGATAAACATACAGTCAGTATTATACCTGGTAGAGCCTCCGCCATGGAAACAGCGCTATATCCTGTGAAGAGGCCGATGTCTAGCACACGTTTCGCCTTTTGGATACTGACCAGAGATTTTAAAAACTGACCTGAAACCATAAAATATAATGTGTGTGTTGTTTTTGTTTTTTAAAGTGTAAAGTATTGAGCTAAGAACTGACATGACATCAGACATGTCCATAGGTGCCATACCCTCATCTTCAGCAGCAGAAAGTTCCAATTCCGGTGGTGCTGGCAGCAGTTTAATTATATGTCTGTCTCGCCTCCCGTCCATTTCCCAATTTTTCCAGCATACATACATCTCTAATTGTTTTTCTTCTTGTGCCATCCAAGACTTCCCTCTAATTAGCCTCGGACCCGGCCCACTATATTTAAACCTACAAAGAGAAACCTGGCCTCAACAGCAAAGTGTGCAGAGCTAACTATGGGGAACCAATGAGGACCTGCAACTGACATTCAAACTCACAGGGGCAGCCCACCAGGCAGTCTTAAAAGGGCAGTTGGCATGTTGTGTTGTGGTTTACAGCTAGGCCCAACATATGATTTTAGCAAACCTCTAAATAGTTGCCTTTTACAACAGACGTGTTAGGAGGTAGCGTATCAATCACCCTTTCCCTTAAAAGAAATTGGATCCTAGAACCTACGCTCTAGTTTTTCATCTTCTTCACGTTTACCTGCTGTACACTCCAGCACAAAGATATGGTTGTCCACTTATAGACTCCAGTCCTGCTCCAGAACCTGAGTTTTGGGTGCACATTTATTTTACAGATCTGTCTCATCTGTATGCAGACTGTTGGTTCCTTGCTTTTCAGGCAGATGTACTCTGACTTTATAGGAAGTTCCCAATTAGTCTACTCTTATGACATGCTTTTTTGGCCTCGGAAGCCACGTGGGAGAATCACTATGTGAACATTCCAACAATAAAAGTATTACCCTCAAGCGGTCCACTCATCATTATTGGTGAAAGCTTCCACAAGGACTTTCCCTGCTGGTGCACAGAGTCCCAGTCGTGACTGTAAGTCTCATCCAAAATCCCTTTGAGTGCTGCACTTTCCTTAGATGTTGCATTATGAGCAAAGTCCTCACGAAGCTCCACCAGCTGCAGGGCTGACTTCAAGGTCTCAATAAGCTCAGGGACAGCCCCTGAAGATTCAGCAAGTGCCAAAGCCTTCTTCACCTCCTCGACTGCTGGATCATAGTGACTGAGATCGTGGGTTGACATCTTCTTTTTATATGCTGCTAGAAAAAAAGAAAAATGTAAAGCAGAGCTGGTTAACTTTACCAATCACAATGCAGTATTGACATTTCAAAAAGTAGTCTGTTGAAAACTGTAGGTGGAAGGAGTATTATTTACGAAAAGCCACGTTTGATTGCTAGTCGAAGCAAATACCTGAGGCGAATCCATGAGCGATAAAGGCAATACAATAAATATGTTTGATGAATCCTGGGTTAATGCTCTCCACACCAATGCTAAAGAATGGCAATCAGTAAACACTGAACAGAAAAAAAACATTCCAAGCAACACAGGCGAGCTCATTATACTCACTTATGCAAGAAGCAGTAAGAAAGGCCTTATCCATGATGCTGGACTTATTGTTGAATCAAAAAGTAGGGATGGTAGGGACTGAGATACTGAAATGGACAAATCACCAGGCGCTGGATGGAGAATGATCTTCTTCTGGTTCTAGATCATTATGCCTAGTAATGGATAATGCCACCTAACATAATGCTGTATCAGAGGAAGACAAAGTACCAATGACATCAAATACAAAAGATGGAATTAAGACATGGCTCGCTAAGGAAAAAGTCAACTTTGACAACACATATTTGAAGGGAGAGTTGTTGCAGCTTGTGAGGAACAAAACAAGACAAAGGTGTAAGTAAAGTAAAAAGTAAAGTTCCCTTTTCACGCCTTTCGGCGCATCGGGCATATGGGCAGAGCGTCCCATATTTTTACAGACCATCAGCACTCTGTGGGTAATGTGGTCAGCATTACGCCGACTGTCTTTACTTTCCCAGGACAGCCCATCCTGGTACTCATTTTAGGCTGGGTCGACCTGCGACGTCCCATACCACGACAAAAATCCACGCAGCCTGCAGTGGGTTTCGATCGCGGTATGCTGGCTTACGAGTCGGACTGTATCACACTGAAAAAATCATTAATGAATACGGCCACACTTCTCTGCGACTACCTGCTTATCATTCACACATCAACCTGATAGAGCTTGTTTGCATTAAAGTCAAAAGACAAGTTGCTGAAAAGAATAGTACAATTAAAATGTGTGATGATGAAGTTCTGAAACATGTGAGTCAAGCAAAAATAAAAAGACATTAATTTCTGGAAAAAGTGTGTTGAACATGTGCTCTGAGAGGAAGACGATTACTGACAATTTGTTAAGCCAGTAACAATTATCCACCTTTTAGGATCATCAGATTCAGAATGATTAAAACCATTTATTGATGAGTGGTTGAATACCGGTTAAGTACATTTACCATTGCAACAAATACATCTCCAAATCCAAATGTGTCAACCATAATACAATTTTTGTGTGCAGTTAAGATACAACCTGGGGTCTGATGGTCATGGTAACCGAAGGGAAATACTGACTGTTGCATTTGGGGACATGTTTACAATTGAACAAGGCAGACAGGCTGTATCTGCACCACTGGGTGATGAATTGATACATGACAAGGCAGATGTGGTCAAGGCCCTTTGGGAACAAGTAACGAGGTCAGAAAAGAAAAAAGATTATTATGGCCTGGCGAGAATGAAACACCTGGATGTGACCAGAGGACCTGGCCGGCACACTATACTCAGAGAAAAGGCAAGATGGAAATTAAATCAGACTGCGTCCGTTACAATTAGTATTGGAACTCTGCTAAAGATGGCGATGTCCCGTGTGCTGTGGTGTCTTTCTTGACTCAGCTCAACTCAACTCAACTCGATTAAACATAAATAAGAAAAACGGGCTCTCCTGTCAAATTTGGCCGGTAAGCTGGACTGCTTCGGCCGGCTTAATGGGAGTTATGTCCCTTGGCCAAACTCAAAACAACTCAAAACAAGTCGCGGAAAAAGTCACGAAACAAATGACATACTTACCTATCATCATTCGGGTGCGTGTAGGGTTGCGTAGGGTGTCTATCATCGTCCTACGGTTGCGTGTAGGGCTGCTAATTGCATGTAGGGTTGGTTGTTTGCGTAAGATGAGGGTATAGGGTTAGGGGTTAGGGTTAGGGTTTAGGGTTTAGGAGTTTAGGGTTAGGGTTTAGGGTTAGGGTTTAGGTTTAGGTTTAGGGTTATGGTTTAGGGTTTAGGGGTTAGGGTTTAGGGTTTTAGGGGTTAGGGTTAGGGTATAGGGTTTAGGGTTTTAGGGGTTAGGGTTAGGGTATAGGGTTAGGGTTTAGGGTTAGGGTATAGGGTTAGGGTTAGGGTTAGGGTTTAGGGTTAGGGGTTAGGGGTATGGTTCGATTTGAAAATTTTAACGTAGGAGGTCGAAATAGTGGCCGACAATCTGACGCTTGTGGGAGTGGCGCCACTGAAACTCTGCCAAATATGATGCCGTAGTTACCTATAATCGCGCACAGTCGTATGCACGTGCAAACAGTCGACGGACGGTGGATGCTACTGACACGGACAATTCGCCAGCGACTGGGTACCAGCCGCCCGCTACTGGCGTCATATTTGACAGAGTGTCAGTGGCGCCACTACCACAAACGTCAGATTGTCGGCCACTATTTCGACCTCCTACATGAAAATTTTCAAATCGAACCACACCCATAAACCCTAAACCCTAACCCTAAACCTAAACCCTAACCCCTAAACCCTAGACCAACCTACACGCAATAAGCAGCCCTACACGCAATAAGCAGCCCTACACGCACCCGTAGGACGATGATAGACACCCTACGCAACCCTACACGCACCCAGATGATGATAGGTAAGTATGCCATTTGATTCGTGACTTTTTCCGCGACTTTTTTTGAGTTGTTTTGAGTGCGGCCACGGGACATAACTCCCACTAAGCCCCGCTAAGCCGGCCGAAGCAGTCCAGCTTACCGGCCAAATTTGACAGTAGAGCCGAAAAACGAAATGTACTTCATCTTTCAATGTATTATAAAGACGCGCCTCTGAAGAAAGAAAAACCGGAAATTCTGTTTACTGTAAAATCTAAAAGTTCACTCTACTGACAATGGTTCGAAAAGATCAAGGGAATTGCCTAATATTCAGCATCTATTGACTAATAAAGAATACCACTATTTTTGCGTCACGGATAATGTAAGGCTGCATGCACACACACAAAATCATTGCGATCTAACAGGCTGTTTTCGAAAAAATGGCTTGTAAGTGTGTTTTTGAATTGTTGAACGTACTATAAAAGTTATTAATAGTAACACTGGTAAAAGAATCGATCGCATCTCATCTGGGAATCAATCATAATAGTACAATTTAGTTTTAAAACGCTGCGTACACTTGACTTGAAAAAAAAAATCAACTTACAAGTATGCCTGTGTTTTATTTATCTTGAAATATGTGTAGCAGAAACGATGTTAACGAGTAGAGCTAGAGAAGATGAAATGACCGAAATGCTAGCGGCGGCGATTAGTTTAGCAGACGGCTCGTCCACGTTGGATGTAGGTCATTGACCTCCTCACGCCAGTACCGGCTTTCCTCCAATAAGAGAGTTTTTAAAAAGGCTAGGAAATCATAAGGAGGAGAAGAAAATGGTAATTTAAAAAAAACAAATAGTTTATGTCAGCTTTACAAAATCAATTACAATGAACCAAGAAAGAAAGTTGCGGCGATTAGCCTTCATCAGCAAATAAAGACAACACGACACACACTGAAAATATGCACTAACTTTGAAATGACTGCATTAAAATATTATGTACACGACTATCTTTGTTCGCGGTATCTTTTCTATTCTAATATCTTCTTCTTTTTCTTCTTCTCATTCATTATTGATTAAAGACCTTGCAGGTCCAGTAGCAGCCCCTGTGGCGATTTAGCTAGAGGCTCGCCTGCTGACTAGAAAGTCTTGGTTCTGTATGGATTCCGGGGCTCCATTATGGAGAACAAAGAACAGTCCCACGGCATCCCCCACCCCCAACAAGCATGTCGTACAATGCGACTAATGCGATGTTGGTTCTTTCAGCTTTTCACCTCATCTTGTCGACTGCAAGATTTGGTTGGGCATTTTTAAATCGTTTCCCCTGAAGGTCCAAACAAATAGGTTGGTTAGGCTTAGTCGGTGTTCATTTAACAGTAACCCTACAACACTAAAACTGCTGTTTCTGGGTATTTCATGTGTTGATTGTTTTCAGCATATTCATCGTTTGTTGCGTTGTCATTTCAGTGTGTGTTACTTTCATCAGTTCGTCGCCGTCAATATGCCCTGCTTGCAATCGGTGTTCCTACTTAGTGACTGCGCCTTCAGCATGAATTTCCTTGACCTGTCAGTATTCCTGCATCAAACCCTAACCCTAACCGACGAGTGTGCATACATGGAGACTATCGCTCCTTGTCAGGGCCCTCTTTCCGCCCACACCCCAAGATGGCCCTTTCCAGAGCCCGCCCGAAAATATCCCCAATTCGCAATAGGTCTGCCCACGACCTCCTTTAGCTTTAAATCTTCTGCCGGGGGTCACGGGTCTGCCAAAGAGAAACACCAGTTTAAGCCAAACCTAACGGGTCGCTAAGTGAATTGCGTAATACAGTGAAGTTCATGACAGGACATTGCAGATATAGATAATCTATTTAGGGCGAACGAAAGAAGAAGATAAAAATAACCCTAATCTCCCCCCCCCCCCCCCCCCCACTGTACTATAGGCCCACGGCCCCCAGTAGCTTTCTACCGGTGTTCCTGTATAGGACCTTCCGCAGAACTTTGGAATTCCCTACCCAATCTCGCAACCTCCGAGATAGGGTGGAAGCTTAAAAGTGCCGAGATGTTTCTTTCAAAGTCGAAGTGCATATGCCTGAAAGGTGAAACATTGACAATCTGCGTACAAATAAACCACTAATATCAAAGTTATAAGACAGGCGATGTCTGAGTGTTGAGCGTCGACCAGATCCCCTGGTAACTCCTCGCAGCGCCATTCTCCTCAGACCGTAATGATCTATCTGCACCTCCGCACTTTTCCCTCGTTTACAAAAGGCTCTCACAAAGGGTTGTCATACATCATTTCACCACCAAGTGGTGCCGAGATAGCCAGTCTATCTGT